CGGTGCCGGGCTGCGCGATCGCTGGGGCCTGCGAGCGCCGGCGGGGGCCGGGGCCCGAGCACGGCAGGCGGGAGGGAGCTGCCTCCACTGGGCGCAGCCGCCTGGGGCCGTGCGCGCCTCGCCGAGCGCCGCGGCGGCCAATGTGTCCGCACTTGTCCGCCTCCCCAGGTGACTCGCGGCCCCGGCAAGCGAGCTGCGAGCGAGCGAGCGCGCCCCAGGTAGGAGGATCCGCCTCCCGCCCGCCCTCCTCGCTCGCCGCGCGCTCTCTCTCCCTCGCTCCCGGGCTCTCCCCTCCCTTTTCTCCTCCCTCCCCCGTGACACACAAACACATCCACCACCCCCCCACCACCCCCCGGCCCAGGCTGGCTCCCTTCCGATCGCCCTCCTGGGACTGGGCAGGGGGAGGGGGATTGGGTGCGCGGAGGGGGGGGGGCAGCCCGCAGGGGAGGGTGCGTCTGGGAAGAGACACCTGCGGTGGGGCTGGCCGAAAGGGTGGGGGTGGGGCGCGGAGGAACGTCCCGTACAGGTCTTGATGGCTGCTCCGCTTCCAGTCTCTGGTGGGAGGGGGGGCGGGGGGGAGACCACCCAACCCATAGCCTCTCTTGCACGCTTCCCCTCCCCCCCCCCAGCAATTACACACTTGGGGGCCTCCTGGGCCACACCCTTAGCCCAAGCATCACTGCTTCTCTGGCAGACCTCGATCAGCCCTCCCCTGGCACCCAGGGTCACCCCCGCCTGTCAGCGCTGGTGCCAGAGAGACTAACTCAGAGGGGACCGGGAAGGGACGGACAGGCCCGGCCAGGTGCAGGCGGATGGCTTGGATGACCTCCTGCGGAAGCCATTGCGCTAAGCACCGTGGTGGGGAGGGAGAGGAGGATGTGGAGGGGGCCCCTGCGTCCCATCTTCCACTGCCCGAGGTCCCCGAAGTCTGCTCAGTCCCCTCCGCAGTGCCCGGCTCAGTGTTCACATTCAGAGCCCGGAGCGCGAGGTCTAACCCTCGCACATTCAGAACTGTCCGGTTTGGCACAGGCCGGGGGGGAGGGGGGGCCGAGTGGTGGCCAGCCCCACAGACCCTGC